TTCTTTTTCCGGATGAAGACCGATTCCACGTCCTCACCCTCTACAATCTGCCTCTCATTTCAACAAACGGACGCAGAACACATACATCCCGACTTCAGGGGAACCACTTCAATACCGCCCCGAAACATGCGTCATTTTTGCATGAAGACCGATTTCACGTCTTCACCATGTGCAATTTGTCTTCGATTTTTGACAAGCAGACGCACAACACAACACACGTCCCGATAACTCGGAACCACTTTAACACTACCCCAACACACACCCTCTTTTCTTTCTTGAAAACCTATTTTTCACAAGGAACGGTGCACGTATCTTCGAACCGGATGGGCTTGGTCGTGGTCTTGGTCGTGGTCATCGTTTCTGTCTTCACCCACAGGTTGACGTTGACTTGTTGGGCTCTCGAGTCTCGATGTAGGTAGAGAGCGAAATGGCGACATAGTCAATCCTGGGGGAGACAATGGTCGCGGGGGTGCAGGAAACGTGTTATTGAAGGCGACAACAACAAAAACAACAACAACAGCAGCAGCAACAGCAACAGCAACAATACACTGCCACTCGTTAGCTGTACTCTACGAATTTCTGAAACGGGACCAACGTCCGCTGGCAGTGCAACCACAATAATAGTCTTTGGTTCCCTTCATTATCCACTTGCTTCTCCGTCTTCCTGTTTTGTGGACGGCAGGGTCGTATACAATCGTCTACTGTACCTGCTTTTCTTATTTTGCCGACGGATTTGTTGATTGTTCCCTATCTCTGTGATGTACCCGAGATATGAATAAACAATTCCGCAAGCACTACTCGGAGTATTCCCCGATTTCATGGGAGTATTTTTTTCTACCGTCCGGTCTACATAAACACATGCAACGTAGAGCCAACTAACTGCTGCAGAACCCGATTTCGAATTAATTGTGTCTGTGTGTACGGTAAGGAGTGCCTGTCAAACGAACAGTGCAAGATTAGTTTATTTTTTCTCGCGAAGCACTTGATTGAAAAGTCATTTCTGCCATTTTACGTCTGGCGCCAACCTTACTCTCGAGTAGAGCTGTTCGGCGGTAGAATATTGATTTCGCAAGAAAATCCGATACGCGGCGGGGGGGGGGGCGCTTCCCAAGCACGTGTATATACAAAACCTTTCCAGAACAATGGAACATTCAGGTGGACATTCTACCTCCTCTATGTATGTATCAGGTAAACAATATCGCCGTTTCGTCGATGAGTAC